TTCAACTTAATCTGTTTCTATCTAAAAATACTCCTGCATCTTTTCGCATTTGTTGGTGTGATGAATGAAGAATATTTGGGCCAATGAACAGTCTGAAACAAAACTCACTAGAATGAACAGGAACCTCCCTGTTGACTTTAGTAATCTTTGAACTGATCTAAGGTTACTTTCAGATCACACAGCTGAATTTCAGCAAAGAAAATCTTCTAGCATGGGTGGAAATGTAAGGATGGCAAAAAAAGACTATGACGCTTTCTACATGATAAAGAGACCACATAATAATATAGCAATACTAAAAGTTCAAAACCAGCATTCGCAAAATGAATGCATAGAATCTAAGCCAAGTAAATTTGTGAGTATTTAGAGAAAGATGAAAGAGTTTCTGTGATTGACATCACTGACTTATTTTTCAAATTCAGACAGAGTGTTTGTATCTTGGACAAAAATATATCACTAGTGTGAATAAATACATCATATATCATAGGAGAAATGGACAATGTTGCACTGGAAAAAAATGAATAAACAATTAGCCTAAAAGTAAATATCACTTCTATCAATTCTAAAAGAAGATATGTACAAGCCCATGAGATATCAGCAACTGAAGAGGGAAAAGAAACCTATAGGCAATAAAGAGTAAGAAACTCAGGTCTTATTGTGATTAATCTACTAACATTTCTGTTATGATTTTTTTTTTTTTTAGCTTAAATACATACTATTCTCTGAATATTTTCTGCTAAGGTGTTATTCCTAGCTGTTATCTTATGAGACTAAACATGTGCACTTAATTTTGAATCCTCTAAAACACCTCTATTGCTCTGATTATGGATTTATTTCTCCTCAGGTTTTGCATTTCCCAAGTACAAATAGACCAACTATGGTTGGCTGTTACATTCCATTTTTTAAAAGTCAGAGTGAAACTATGGTTTCCTTTGGTGTCCTTCAGCTGTTTTCTTCTGTAAACACCTGCTGCAGCTGTTTCCTTAAACAAAGGTCTGTGGTTGTTTTGCTAGTATAGACTTAGAGGTACTCTTCAGATACCCAGGATATTGGGTAATGTCTTACAGTTTGTACCTGTGCGCAAGTCAAGTAGGAGAAACTCCAGACCTTCCCAAATTGCTGGAATTATTCAGATGTGTTTTGTTCTATCTTTGAAATTAGGTCATTTTGCTATTCTTTTACATAGCCAGCATGTATGACAAGTGATGCTGTGGAGTATTTCACTGCAGTTTTAGTGAACATATTGCCCACTGAGCAATCTTAAGAATGTTATGAAAAGGAGACAGTGTTTTCTGAGGTTATTTTTTGCATAACATATGCTAGGATGTATGTGTTTTGGGGGGAATTTTAGGTTTTGTTTTTTTGGTTTGGAGTGGTTTTTTTTTTAGAATTTCTGGGAAAATTTCCAGTAAGAGCAGTCACATCTTCCTTCTCACGAAAAGTTATTTCTTCTTAGCTGGTTGTTTTTTTTATTTCATAAATTTCATAATTAGTCAATGAAAATTACTGGTTTTGGGAAGGCTGAAACTAATTGTTCTATGTTTCTCTTGCAATTTCTATTTTTTCTTCATGCTCCCAAATCCTCCTGTGTTACATAACCAGTTCTCCAAGGCTCCTCTCCTGCCCCCACAAAAGTGTGCATGAAAATCAGGAATGAAACTGATATGCTCTGTTTTTCTGGGTCTGCTTTTCATTTCAGGTTGTCTTTTTATTACTTTAAGATCATAAAATGAGACAAATAAAGAACTCTCTCAACGGATGAAGTTTTGTCAGAAACATTCCCCTGGGTTTGAAATCTGATTAGGTTTATGTGTATGTATAGTCAGGAGACCAAGAAAGTGAAAGATGAAGTTTCTGACATGTATTGAGAAACATAATTCCTTCTCACATGAATAAAATTCACCCCAAAATAACAGGAGAGTTGATGAGTTGGTTTGAGTTGATTTTATGTTAGAGACGCTATTGGCTGTTAAAGTCAATAAACTCTTTAAATGCTTATGTATTAGACTCTGACACTAAATAAGAGTAGGCATCTGTATACTGCCCACAATGCAAGTAAAAGCAGGACTTTCATAGGTCATACTGTGGTTTTGAGATAGTTTCCACTTGGAGAAAAAGATCATCAGGGAAGAACACCAGCCTTCTCAATTTCATTGTCAGATCCTTACAGAATTGATTGTTACACATTTCACATTACAAAAGGTCCAAGTAAACATTACAGTAACATTATTGGATTCAAGTTTTTCTTTTATCAGCAGCAGCTTTTCCTGTCCTTGATTATCAGCTACACTTAAAATGTTTCAGAGGCTTGTGCTGTTACTACTGGAGAAAGTGCTCTTGTTTTAATCTCCATTCTCCAATAAATTAGAAAACAGGGAACAGGTCATTAACATGTGCTTGCTTTTAAGGAGAGGCATACCGTCATTTCTAATTAATATATCTATATTAGACAAAAAGGAGATCAGCTTTTTAAGCAATCTGAACAGCTTTATATCCCTAAAGCATTAAAAAACCCACCCCTCAAGTAGACCATTTTTCCTCTTTATATCAGGCAGGGTGCTACAAATATTTCAAATCCAAGCAGCTCTACTTCAGGCTAAAGAAAGACTCGTTTCACTGCAGTTTGCATCTTCCTTTCTCAAAATCATATGCAAAAAAAAATATTATTGTTGTGTTCCTTATGCACTGCTCTAGAAGCATGAGTTTCTGCATCTGTGTATTAATTTCTAAGTAAACCAAAATAAACCTCCTGTTCTTAAAATATCCTGCAATTTGGCTTGCATAAAAAAGATGGCAAATAGCAGTCTGTTTAGTTATTTTTTATCTATTGGTTTGTGATATGTAATCTATATGGTTGGCAAATTTTCAACTACCACACGGGATTTACAAGCACTTATAATCATATGAATAGGTCAGCATGTGCAGAATTAAAAAACATCGTTCATCACATCATGATACATGTTTTATTATTCTCAGGGTACATAGATCTTGTTTTTTATCTGTAGGCCATTTTATTTTGGTGTGGAAATAGCTTTTGCACACAAAGGTGAGGACAGTCTTTATTTAAGTAAGTACCAGAGTCAAAATATCTAGTTTCATGCCCGTTTTATTAAGACAAATATCCTAATCACAGTAATACAAAAAAATATCTATTATATGCTCTTTGCATTTCCTGTCCTGTAGTGGGCAAATGTATTTTTTATAAACTAATAGACATAATGTTTCTATGTTTCCACCCATACTGGAAAATAACTATTACAGCATCTCACAAGAACTGAATTCCCTCTGTCATGCTATTTGGTTTGTACAAATGCATCCTTTCCTGGGACATGCTTTGAACTAAACCTCTTCCCCAGTAATTTCCATTGAAATTTGGTATTTGCTCAGCAAAATGTTTGGAAAAGTTTGGCCATTCAAAAGAAAAATTATCTGGGGAAATCTTCCAGGGGAAAAGAGTACTGCTGCTGTTGGATCCTGCTTTTTCTACATGAAGCAATGAATGGCATTATATGTCAGGTAAGCTTCTCTTCAGGTATGCAATTTGTATCTACTGCTTTTATCATCTTTTAACTATAAGGTTTGGGGCTTTTTGTCTATGTTTTGTTTCACATGCTATAACTTTTCACCTGTCCATGAGTACAACAGTATGCTCTTCACTATCATACCACACTTTAAGAGGTAGACCTTGACTATATTCATTACTTGGCTCTTGAATTAGTTAATAATTCTTGAATTAGTCAAAACACAGCACTGCACCAGCTACCACGAAGGAGAAACATGGCTGCTACTGCTGAACCCAGGACATTATCCACCCCTTATTCCATACCATTCACGTCATGCTCAGATCCCACATTTTCAATACACCATCGCTCTCCCACATGTATACATCCATATACACACAGACCAAGAGAAAAAGATCATTTTCTCAGTGCATGGACTCATCCCTATAATGCTACTGAGTCCATTCGGTCCATGATGTCAGGTTCCATTTCTTGTAACAATCTTTCAGGGCAGGAAAGGCTGTGTTCAGTGTTGGATCGTTGCCTGCTGATGCTGGTCGTTCCTTTACTGCGGAACTCATCCGATTCTATCAAAGTTCATTCTCTGTTGGGATGATGGTTGGAGGGAAGTCAGGGCTGATCGCTGATGACCTGGAGACATCTAGTTGGTGGGCTATAAAAGTATTACACAGCAGGCAACAGCATACAATTAAGTTCATTGGCTGTTTTCCCCTAAAATCAAATCCCCTTGAGGTATACATCGGACTTCCCCATCTTCCCGCATTACCCATCAAGTATATCCAGGTCCCTGAGCAAAAGCAATCCCATGAGTGGGTTTGCCTTTACCTGAAGCAGGAATAACCCAGACTGTCTTCCCCAGCAAATTCTTCATATGCACCACGGGAACTTTGTCCCCCTCTACAATATGTAAAAGTTCTGACTGGGCTGGGCCAGCCCTGTTGGCAGATCCTCTGGTGTTGACCAACCAGGTGGCCTTTGGTAAGTGTGTATCCCAATGCTTGAAAGTTCCCCCCCCATTGCTCTCAGTGTAGTTTTTAACAGCCCATTGTACCGTTCGATTTTCCCAGAGGCTGGTGCATGGTAGGGGATGTGATATACCCACTCAATGCCATGCTCTTTGGCCCAAATATCTATAAGGTTATTCCGGAAATGAGTCCCATTGTCTGACTCAATTCTCTTTGGGGTGCCGTGTTGCCACAAAATCTGTTTCTCAAGGCCCAGGATAGTGTTCCGGGCAGTGGTATGGGGCTCAGCGTATGTTTCCAGCCATCCGGTGGTTGCTTCCACCATGGTAAGCACATGGCACTTGACTTGGCGGGTTGGTGGCAGTGTGATATAATCAATCTGCCAGGCCTCCCCATATTTATACTTCAACCATCGTCCTCCATACCAAAGAGGCTTTAACTGTTTGGCTTGTTTAATTGCAGCACATGTTTCACACTCATGAATAACCTGGGCAATAGTGTCCATTGTTAAGTCCACCCCTCAATCATGAGCCCATCTATATGTTGCATCTCTGCCCTGATGGCCTGAGGTGTCATGGGCCCACCGGGCCAAAAATAATTCACCTTTATGTTGCTAATCTAAGTCCATCTGAGCCACTTCAATCTTAGCCACTTTATCCACTTGTTGGTTGTTCTGGTGTTCCTCAGTGGCCTGACTCTTGGGTACATGGGCATCTACATGACGTACCTTCACCACCAGGTTCTGCACCCGGGCAGCAATATCTTTCCACAGTGCAGCAGCCCAGATGGGTTTACCTCTGCGTTGCCAGTTGCTCTGTTCCATTGCTTCAACCACCCCCACAGGGCATTTGCCACCATCCATGAGTCAGTATAGAGATAAAGTACTGGCCACTTTTCTCCTTCAGCAATGTCCAGGGCCAGCTGGATGGCTTTCACCTCGGCAAACTGACTCGATTCACCCTCTCCGTCAGCAGTTTCTGCAACTTGTCGTCCAGGACTCCATACAGCTGCCTTCCATCTCCAATGCTTTCCCACAATACGGCAAGAGCCATTAGTAAACAAGGCATACTGCTTTTCACTTTCTGACAGTTTATTATATGGTGGGGCCTCTTCAGCACTCACCACTTCCTCCTCTGGTGACATTCTGAAATCTTTGCCCTCTGGCCAGTCCATGATGACTTCTAGAATGCCTGGATGACTGAGATTTCCTATTCGAGTTCGTTGTGTAATTAGTGCAGCCCATTTACTCCATGTAACATCAGTTGCATGATGTGTAGAGGAGACCCTGCCTTTGAACATCCAGCCCAGCACGGGCAACCGGGGTGCCAGGAGGAGCTGTGCTTCAGTGCCAATCACTTCCGAAGCAGCTCGAACCCCTTCATAGGCTGCCAGTATCTCTTTCTCAGTTGGGGTATAGCTGGCCTCAGATCCTTTATATCCCCGACTCCAAAAGCCGAGGGGTCGACCTCGAGTCTCCCCTGGAGCTTTCTGCCAGAGGCTCCAGGTAGGACCGTTCTCCCCAGCTGCAGTGTACAGTACATTTTTTACATCTGGCCCGGTCTGGACTGGTCCAAGGGCCACTGCATGAACTATCTCGCGTTTAATTTGCTCAAAGGCTTGTTGCTGCTCAGGGCCCCATTTAAAAATCATTCTTCTTCTGGGTCACATGATAGAGAGGGCTTACAATCGAACTGTAATTTGGGATGTGCATTCTCCAGAACCCCACAGCACCCAAGAAAGCTTGCGTTTCTTTCTTATTAGTTGGTGGAGACATTGCTGTTATCTTGTTGATCACATCTGTGGGGATCTGTCTACGTCCATCTTACCATTTTATTCCCAAAAATTGAATCTCCTGTGAAGGTCCCTTGACCTTACTCCGTTTTATGGCAAAACCGGCTTTCAGCAGGATTTGGATTATTTTCCTCCCTTTCTCAAAGACTTCTTCCACTGTATCGCCCCACACAATAAAGTCATCAATGTATTGCAGGTGTTCTGGAGCTTGCCCCTGTTCCAGTGCAGTCTGGATCAGTCCATGGCAAATGGTAGGGCTGTGTTTCCACCCCTGGGGCAGTCGGTTCCAAGTGAACTGGACACCCCTCCAAGCAAAAGCAAACTGTGGCCTGCACTCTGCTGCCAAAGGAATGGAGAAAAATGCATTGGCAATATCAATCGTGGCATACCACTTGGATGCCTTTGACTCTAGTTCATACTGAAGTTCTAGCATGTCCGGTACGGCAGCACTCAATGGTGGTGTGACTTCATTCAGGCCACGATAGTCTACTGTTAGTCTCCATTCTCCATTAGACTTTCTCACTGGCCATATGGGGCTATTAAAGGGTGAGAGGGTCCTGCTGATCACCCCCTGACTCTCCAGTCTACGGATCAGCTGATGGATGGGAATCAGGGAGTCTCGGTTGGTGCGATATTGCCACCGATGCACTGTTGTGGTCGCAATTGGCACTTGTTGTTCTTCAACTTTCAGCAACCCCACAGCAGAGGGATCTTCTGAGAGACCAGGCAAGGTGGACAGCTGCTCAATTTCCTCAGTCTCCAAAGCAGCAATACCAAAAGCCCACCGGTACACTTTTGGGTCTTTGAAGTACCCTCTCTTGAAGTAGTCTATGCCGAGGAAGCATGTAGCCTCTGGACCAGTCATAATGGGGTGCTTTTGCCATTCCCTCCCAGTCAGGCTGATTTCAGCCTCCAGCACAGTCAACTCTTGGGATCCTCCTGTCACTCCAGAAATATAGATGGGTTCCACCCCTTGACAGCTTGATGGCATCAGGGTACACTGTGCACTGTTATCTACTAGAGCCTTATACTTCTGTGGGACTGATGTGTCAGGCCATCTGATCCACACAGTCCAGTAAATCCGATTGTCCCTTACCTCCACCTGGCTGGAGGTCGGGCCCCTCTCATGGTCATCACAGCGTTGGACACTTAAGTTGTGGTAAAAGCGATTATTCTTCGTTATCACAGGAGCTGGAGTAAAATCAGCTCTTCCATTCCATCTGGGAAACTGCTCACCAGAGACTGAGGCCGTAGCTCTCATGGGACGATCAGTCTTGGCCCTTGCTCCCCTCTTCAGTTCACTCACCTGTTCCTCCAAAGCTGAAGTAGGTTTTCCATCCCACTTTGTCATGTCTTCTCCGTGCTCTCGCAAGTAAAACCATAGGGTAGCCCGTGGCGTATACCTCCTGTATCTCCTCTCTTGAACAATAGGATGCCTTTTGTTAATAGCTGAGACGTGTGTTGGTACACGTGAGGAGCTGGATAAATCAGATAGATCGTCCCTCAATTGTTCGAGGTCCTGGGACAGTTTTTCCACAGCTGAGATGATGGAAGGGGTGAGATTGTCTTCGAACTCTCGGAGTTTATGAACCATTTCATCCACTGTTAGTGGTACTATGTCATTCCAGGTTACTGTTGCCAATGAATGGGCATATGATGACAATGCATTCCATGTAAGTTTTCGCCACATGGGTCGTGTACATTCAATTCATCTGGGTCTATGGGTGTATCCCCGTTATTTGGCTTGATGTGATAGATCATCTCTACGATGGCTGATTCCCTCAGAGACTGGATGCCTTTGTCTATAGTAGTCCACTTGGCCGAACGACTCATAACATCATCCTTGTATGGAAACCTTTCTTTCACAGCTGCCAAGAGCTTCCTCCAAAGACTAAGGGACTTTTTGTCTCTTGCAATTGCTTTGTCAGTTCTCCCTTCTCTAGCAAGTGATCCCAGCTGCTTGGCTTCTGTACCTTCTAGCTCATGACCATCGGCCTCATTGTCCCAGCATCGGAGTAACCAGGTGATGATGTGCTCCCCTGGTAGACGGGTAAAATCTTTTCGCATATTCCGCAGCTCGGTTGAGGTCCGAGGTCGAGAAGTTACCTCTTCTTCTTCTTCTTCATCATGTGATGATGACTCCTGATCAGATGCTAGACCGGGTGGTGAATTCATTGTTTCTTCATCTTGCTTCACCCTTCTTGCGTCTTTTTTGCTTGTTCTCTTGCGTACAGGGGCAACCGATATTGGTACGAAGTGGTCCTCTGGTTTGGCTGCAGTGATTATCACTGTGGTTTGAGTAGCTACTGTACTTGTTGCTGGGGGTGGTGTAGCTGCTGTGCTTGGAGCTGGGGTAACCGCGCTGTCTGTTGCAGTCGAAGTTTGAGCAGCTGCTGTACTTGCCGCTGTGGTAGCTGCGCTGTTCATTGCAGCCAAAGTTTGAGTAGAGACTGTACTTGCCGCTGGGGGTGGTGAAGCTGCTGTGCCTGGAGCTGGAGTAGCTGCGCTGACTGTTGCTTTGCCCTCAGATCCGCCGACATTCTTTTCCTTTTGAAGGTGCTGGATAGTGTTGAACAAGGCCCTGTAAGCATAGGCCAAGCCCCAGCATGTTGCCATGATTTGTCCATCTCTGGTATGGCCAGAATGACCACACACCTCATTTAAGTGTTTTACTTCTGGATTTTGCAGTTGTTCGTAGTGAAATTTCAAAGTACTGGAGGGGCCCACTGACCTAGATACTTGCCCATACTGTCCCACACACCTTGCCACTCATGGCTGTCCAGCCTCAGGGAAAATCTCTTGGTCCTCCTACATCATTGTTTGACCCCAGACAAGACCCAAACCTGACTCTGCTTAACTCTTGAAATCAGTTGTGGGCAAAACACACTCTGTATGCGTGTTAGCATGGTGATTCCCATCACGATCAGCAAACAAGTCTCAACAGCATTAAAAGGCCATTCAAAAACTTAAAAACTCAAATGTAAATGGTCTGGGGGGACGACTGGGAGGGTAAAAGGATGTCTCCTTTACAGGTTGATCACCCGAGAAGGAGAAAAAAGATGTGTAATTGCTAAGCACTTCTATTATATACCTCCCAAAGTATAAAGGTGGTGACCACACTGGGAACATAAGCCAGATCAGTTTCATGATCAATGATTCTATTGTATTACAAGTCATTACCGTAAAGTACGAGACAAAAACCTTAGCCCAAGCCCCACACTTGAAAAACACTAATACAGCAAATACCGGATGGAAGTAAGGTACGATATACTGAAACTGTGAGATCAAGAGGAACAACCTTGAGAGCCAACAAATCAGCATTGTGACGAGTGACTATTAATCCAGTTAGGTCTGTTGTTATCTCAACCCCTCTTGCCCCACGTTGGGCGCCAAAAGAACTGTCGTGGTTTAAACCCTAGCCAGACAACTTGTTCACTCACTCCTAGTGAGTGGTGCCGGGCTGAGAGCAATCGAGGTCCTCCCCCCCCACAAGGGCTCTCCCCTTCCCTGCTCCTGGAGGAACAGGGAGGAGGATCGAAAGAGTGCAACTCCTACGGGTTGAGACAAGAACAGTCCAGCAACCAATGTACAACACAAATCACCACCGCTACCACCAACGACAACAATGATAAGGGAAAATAACAAGGGAAGAGAATACGATACCACCGGCCAAGAAACAAGTCCCACCCGGAAGCCAGTGTCCGTCCGGGTAACTCCCAGTTACCCCCCACCCTGGCCATGACGTGCTGTGGTATGGAGAAACTCTTTGGCTAGCCTGGGTCAGGCGCCCCATCTCTGCTTCCTCCCAGCTTCCCCTCCTCCCTGGCAGAGCATGAGCCTCACAAAGTCCTTGGTCAGGGTAAACATCACTTAGCAACAACCAAAAACATCGGTATCACCAGCAGTGTTCCCAGGCTGGAAGTCAAAACACAGCACTGCACCAGCTACCATGAAGGAAAAACATGACTGCCACTGCTGAACCCAGGACAGGGGACTTGTTTAAAATCATCAACTTTGGTTAAAATGCATCTCCAGATTAAAATTATTTTTTAAGTTTTCCAAAATTTGTTTTGGCTCACTCTCCTTTTTAAAACTGGTTCTTCTGTGGTTCCGGTATTTTTTTTTTTTTTTATTTTTTATTTTTTTTAATCTTTTATTTTATTTTATTTCCAGATTCTTGGATAGCCTGATTTCCATATTGTCTTCTCCCCCACTCTTAATTAGTGTATTAGGCACTGGAGCAGGGGGCAGGGAAGAATGTGTGGATTTTCTAAGAGGCTGTAATTCCTCAATATCGTCATATGCATTTGTGTTTTATTGTACTTGTGATTTGATGGATATATTAATATAGGAAAGGTGTGAATATCATAACATCATACCACAGAAAGTCCTTCTTCTGATAATGACATTTTTAGCAACAGCCCAAAATTTACAGGGTAAAACTGTGACATGGCCACTAAGAGAAATAAGGCTTTATAACACCAACCACTGAGCTACATAAAAAACTCTGAACACTGTTATTTAGGCTATGATCAGTGCTACATTTAGTCTTCTAGTGTTCAAACACCATTATGCAAAGTGGATTCAAAATAGGTAACACATTTGCTTTCCTTGCTGTTAATCTGAAACACTTGCAGAAGAGCACCTGATGCAATTTAGCTATCTAATTCATAGAGGTAAGGTATATTTGCTGCCTACCCTGTTTTATTGATTTTTTGATTTAAGATCTTTATTTCTTTTGGTGTTAATAGAAAGATAAGAATGAAAGGGAGTTGGTGGAAATGGGAACAAACTCAATTTTTATTGAAGTATCCTAAAATACTTACCAAAAGTCAGTATAGGCTGTTTCTGGATCCTTGTTAAAATTAAACAAATGAACTTTCAGGACCTTTATCTGCAGATTGGTGATGTTGTAAATCAATTCCCTAGGTCTTTAAAGAGTGATCCATTGATCTCTGCATTATTAGCACCAGCCTTGTATCCTCCCTGCTGACCAGCTGTCCTCATAAATTCTGACTGCCTCACATGGATTTCAGCTGTCAGGGGTCAGGTAATCCTCAGCACTGCTACAGCAACCATAAAGCATTTGAGAATTTGCACTGCATTTTTCAATTGTCCACAGGTTAAAGTGTGCTTTTTTTCTTTACTGAAACTCTTTTGTGCCTTTCAAGTAAATGTATTTGAACCTAATTAGATTAATGTGCCTATGTAAATTAGGAGGGCTTCCCTTTTCCTTCTGCTTCATTGGAGTAAGACCTTGAGAGGTCAAGGGACAGATTTGTTGCACCTTAAGCTTTGAGTGTCCAGTTGAAATGGCTACTTTGTGTATTTAGCA